GTCAATTTTGAACTGTGTGATGATAGAAGCCTAAAAGGGCCAGAAGCTGGTAGATAATAGTAATGATAACATTTGGCGTTTTACGTCCCATGGCCACGATACTATCATGAGAGATGGCGTAGTCAAGGGCTTCAGAAAGTTTGACCATCTGTTGTGCTTTAACGCGCATTGGCATCACACAGTACACGGACACCTAGCATTTTGCCTCCATCTGAATTCGACCGCCGGTATCGAACCCGTGACCTTTGGGTCGGCAGTCGAGCAGCGTATAGCCACTGATCCACCGAGGCGGAGGAAAAGCTGGTAGAGTGATGTTGCGAAAGGCGGGAACGCAAAGCAAGGAAGACCACAGGACACTGTACTGATGATGAACGTAGACAAAAAAAGAACAAGAAAAAATGAAGAATCGGCGAGAGCATCTTGGTAGGAAGCGCACAACTGTTACACAGGAACGCCGAGATACAAGCGCTTAGCTAAATAAACTAACTTACCGAATTCTACACTTCCTTAATGAACACCCTACTGTGATGACACTAATTGAACAAAGTTCCTCCATTTATGTATTCAGAAACAAGGTGCACACATTCCTCGTAAAAACTTAAACAGACTTTCATACCTCTTTCGATTCATCTTCTTATTTTGTGTTACTTGCATGTATGGCTCATACCTGTGTTTTTATTCACTTTTTTTTTATTTTGGCCGCCATCGTTTTGCATGAATACTATTCTTTGTGCTAATCACAATTTGTACATATTTCTTTATCAAATAACTTGATGTTAGAAAAAATGATAATAACGTTTGATGCGTTTCAATTTTGTTCTGCTATAAATAACTGCGTATGTATGTGTGTACACAGGGGTTGGTGCTTTGTCTGGGTTTCTTTGCCTCTACGTCAATCCGCTAGGGAACTGTGTATACGGCTTGTCTGAAATAAACAAAATTCAAATTTAACTTCAACAAAATGTTAATTAGAAACGTCAAATTATACAAAGGGGTGAAAAAAGAAAACGAAAAGTAAAAGGCAGAACAACAAAAACCGCTAGCGCAGTGTCATACGTTACTAATGCATTATTGTTAATCTCCGTTGCTCTCACTGCGGAGATAGTATCTGATCCCCGTTCCGGCCCCCATGCGTATGGGAGCTTCGTCCGCATTGAGGAGGGACCATCCAGCTTTGGTGCATCGTATTTTGGTAACTAAGATAGCGTGCACACTAGTAGCAAGTTAACGTAGTTTCATGTGAGAGTGTCGGCAGTATATCTAGTAAGCGTACGTAAAGCGAAGACACCGAATAGCTCACTCTACGTTATCTATTGCCGAAGCCAAATCAAGTGAAATTGATTCGTCATAGTGGGATTATAAACAACCATACCACTAAGCAGTAAATGCAAGCTCCTAACTGCAGAACGGCCTCATGCAGACCAATTGCATGCAGCCCAGTTACACGCAGACTAGTCACAACCAGAATAGTACAAACAGGCCCAAATTATATACGTATTCTCTTAGACCATCATATTGAAATTTTCGACTTTATATATATATATATATAATAGATATATATATATATATATATATATATATATATATATATATATAATATATATATATATATATATATATATAATATATATAATATATATACTGAACACTTGGTCGGGGGCCTCGTATAACCACATTCTGCGTTCTCACGGGCCCGCTACACAGTCACGTGACACTTTATACGTGGAAGCCCGCTGCTGGAAACATCTACACGCGCAGCGCGGACAGCAACATGCATATGGTGCCTCAGCGTCTTTTTGAAGACACATGAACCAGACGGCAGGAGAGCAGACGTCATGTATAGATGGTGTTGGGAGAGGAGGTATACGGACGGACAATGGGACAACGGAAGACACTACAGTGGGGCGCTGTTACAGAAACACAGAAGAACAGAAGGAGGATGCGTATTCATCTGGGCTTTTTGCCTGTCCGTTTGTGCGGAGAAACAAACGCGCATGTGAATAAAACAAGAAAAAAGATACAACCGCACAAACACAAGAAAAAACCACAGTGAATGGGTGCATTGTGGACACAAGGAAATGGTCACTTCCCACCGTTTCTCAATGCCACGTGTGTGTTACATCTTTATCTTTTCCTTTTTGTGTGTATGAGTGTCTCATAGATGTCACAACTTTGTTTTCTGGTTCACTACCCTTTTTTCTCTATTTTTTCTTTGCCAGTGGAACACGCTGGCAATGCAGGTACATAGCTACGCATCCGCTGGCAGCGGTTTTGTCTGTACGCGCGTGTGGTTACGACAAACGGGCAGAGATGACCGGTGTTGGATAACACTCGTGAAAAAAAAAAAAAGAAAGTGGCGAGGTAAAATACGAACGGAAGGTTGCATAAAAAAGGTTTAAGAGGACGGTATGCACAGAGTGGTGGGCCCGGATTAGTAGCGACGGTGAATGACAATGCAAGAAAAAAATGAAATTATATACAGTAGCGAACCAAGCAGACTGGAAGCGGAAGTAAACAGGTACACAATGAGAAATCAGACTCCCCAGCGGAAGCAAGGGATGTATATGTGAACGCGGAGCGTAAATTGGGACAGAAAGGGTACACGATGGTGGACAAAAGAAAAACGTTGCCGATGATATTACAGTGACTTTACTGAAGTTTGGAAAAAGAAAACTGTAATTGAGATGCGTATAGCGATGATACATAAATCAGAGTATTAGCAACAACCTTATAATTACTGTTATTTATTACTTATGCAATATGTACCAATACATGCATGACTACTTGAACCCGGAGAAGATTTTTATATAGCGCAATGCTGTAGCGGCACCTCCGATTACATAATTCAATAAAATAACTAGTCGAATGTGGCGCAACTGTGGAGTAAAGCATATATTACAACTGTAAGCATAGGAAATGTGAGGTAAGAAAAATAGTATACAACTCGATCAATTATTTGGGAGGCTTGTTATATGATTTTGGTTGACCACGCTCCTAACTAATGAAATGCTGGGAGATGAGCGCAGGATTACAGAAAATTCGAAACGACCGCCTTGTAAGGTGAACTTTCGCAATGCACGAGTTCTTGGGTTCAGCGATCGCGTAACTAGCCGAGTCATGGAGTCGGCAAAGGTTCACACCTTTTTCAAACTATGCTGCGCAAGAAAAGAAGTATTCATCAGCGCGAGTTGTAATCGTTGCACGGTCAACTATGAAATCACCTCGAACTGGCGACGTGGGCCGCCACTAGGATATTACGCTTTGCGGAGAGAACGAATCACGATCACGTCGCAAAAGTCATGCCAGTTGCGGCAGCGGAATCATTCGTCAGATCAGGTCATTGCACGCGGAGACACGAGAAACACACGCGTAAGGAGTCGGTGGCAACGGTCACCCAGAGAGTCATTCGACTAAACGCAGGCGAAAGCGCCTTTGATGGTCTGCGGAACAGTCACGACACAATATCCGACGCACCGATGCACAACCACCGACTCGAGCAAGAAGGCGAGGCTTGCGTATCACACTAGCACGCAATGGAATAGTTCGACGGTCATTGCGAAGATATGAATGCGCACCCCCCCCTCCCCCTCTTTCTCATTTTTTTTGTCCATCTCTTCGTTTCATCGCGCATGGATTAAACATGCGGGTGAAAGTAATCCCACACCGCATTGGGCGCCCTGGGCGAGGCCTTCCAAAACAGACGGCGAAAGACAAACACAAGTCACCACGGGGCCTTTCTAATGTACCCGCCTCCACCCGTGCACCGTTGATTTTCTCCTACGCGTAATAGGTGGCGCTCACTAACTACCCACTCCACGCGTGGTCAGCTCGGCAAGAGATTTCCGTTCAAGATCAAGTTCACCGCACGCTGTAGCGTTCGCTGCTCCTCTCGAAGGCGGAAGAAAGTGGCGCTCGTGTTCCACCAGTGCTAGGACTCGTTAGGCTTATGTGCCGCCCGCCATGTTAACTGCGGTAGCGATTACGCTCCCGGCGTCACGCCCAGCTTCGGGCTATATGTAACGTACTCCTGCCAAAAAAAAAGGAGGAGGGGGGGGGGAGACTCAGACGATGCTCGTCATTGGCGATGAAGTGTAATTGCAAGAGATTTTTTTTTTTTTTTGCACACGGGCTCCGCCATTGATTACCGAGTGTGCGTACAGTGTATGCTTACATACATATCGACTACAGCGACGTTAAGAGAGCCTCGAGCAATGGCGGTGTCGCGTGAACGCACGCGGCGAACGGGTCGGACTGTAATCGCCGCTGTTCGAGACAAGAGCAATAAGCGTGTAAGCGTCATTCTCTTCCTCTTCTTCGCCTCTTCTTCGGAGCATGCGCTTTCCCCGCGAACTGTGCGAACGGAGGCTGAGATGGGCCTAATTGTGACGAATAGAGTGCCTGAGGGGGGAGAGTGAAAGATCACATTTCTTTAGCTCGCCGCCGCAATCACTAAAAAAGTGAACAGGCCTATGTGCATGTTTGCATGTGCGTGCGTGTACTGTTTGTTTGGGCGTGCGATGGCTGGCGTTCATAACGCCTGACCGGTTTTTCTCGGATGCACTATCTGTCTGCGCCGCCTGCTGCACAATCTGTTCTAATAGCTAAGTCTGTTAGTATTTCTCCCAGAATTCACTCAGCGTGCTGCCTTGAGTTGATCACTATTACATGACTCTTGTTATGTGTACCCAGAGCCAGTGTTTATGGACCTTAATCAGTGCTCATTATATGAGTCTAAAGTGTTTTCTGCTCTTTTCTCGTGCAATAAAAGGTCTTCATTGCAGTCACTATTATCCTGTGGCAATTCATATTCATTAACAGTGAGCAAGGTGCTTAAGGTGATTGGAAGCGGCTGCCTTCTTTAGAATGAGTCGTATGCTCGATTGCGTATCTCTTGGTCATACATGCTACCTTTGCAAATTACTGACCACGTGCATAGTCATCCCAAAGAACAAGTGGCATATCGTTATGGTTAAATATTTTTCTCTGTTTTGCATGTGCAGAATATGACTACGTCTTCGTGGAGGTGGACCCTACCGGGACTGGTCTTGGCAGTCCTGGCGTGTTTGTCCTGGCATGCCACGCCGGCTCACGGCCATGGTAGACTTATGGAACCCCCATCGAGGTCGTCCATGTGGAGGATGGGCTTCAAGACGCCACGCAATTACAACGACAACGAACTCTTCTGCGGTGGCTACGCGGTAAGTGCCTCCCCCCCCCCCCCCACCCAAAAAATGATCATTTACTGCCATTTTGCCGGCACAGCGATCCCGAAAGTGATTCCGGTACGCATAGTTTTGTTAGTAGAGCTTACACGACCGAGTTTTGTCTCAGTATAGCTATCGATGATAACTTAAAAAGCCTATATTACATCAATAAGAACATTCTGTTTAGAAAAAAATTATCGTCACAGACGTCAATAACATTTCAACAGGACATTTTCTTCTTAGACATACAACAACGATAATAACAAAACAGACTTCATTTACATGAATATAGTTATGAGATGACGTTGAAAGAACATGTACATTCGATGGTTCACACAAACACAGCCACCCTACAAAAAAAAGTGCAGTTCTGTCAACAACAATGTGACAAAGGCAGCACGCTTTGTAAGATAGATATGGAAGCAAAAAACCACCAAACATTCCCTGATTACAACACAGTTGCCGTTCAGCGCGATTGATCATATTATACAAGTTGTATAAACAGCCAGATGAGGCTTAATACATAATAGATCGGCCTTCCGCTAAACGAAAACACTTACAGATGAGTCTAAAAAATAGCGTTAGCCCATCTCCTTTATATCAGGGTGGGGCGAACTTCTTTGTCTAAGAACTATCTTATGCAGCGGAAAGGCACTGAACGTACACCTGCAATGTTTTTCTTTACTGGCAGTAGTTCTGACATCTTAGCTATGTCACTCTCAAGAGGTTCGAACGCGTAGCAGTTGGTCAAGAGTGGCCTGAGGAGAAGTGGGCGACAGCGCTTAGTTTATGCCTCAGTGGGGAAGCATTGAAAGTCTTCGGTCGTCTGTCGCCAGAAGACTCAATGGATTACCAGAGTACGAAAGTGGCCTTGCTCCAGAGGTTTCGTTTCACAGCCGAAGGCTATCGCGAAAAGTTTCGGCAAAGCAAGCCTGAAGACGGCGAAACTGGTAAACAGTACGCCACGAGATTACAGAGTTACTTCGATAGATGGCTGGAAATGTCGGAAACGGACGAGGACTTTGCATCCGTGCGCAACCTCATTGTAGCTGAGCAGTTTCTGAATAACTGCCACGATCGCCTGGCACTTTTTCTAAGGGAGAAGAAATGCAGGACGGTAAAAGAAATGGCAGAAGCAGCTGATACCTTCTTGGAAGCCCAGCGGCAAACAAACTTGTTGGTATTTCGTGCCAAGTCTGCAAACAACAATTCCAAGGAGCAAGAAGGATTTACTTATACCCAGCCTCCTCTTAGATGTTTCGTCTGTGATCGACCCGGCCACAGAGCATCTGATTGCCGCACGAAACCCCAACGAGTCTTCTGTGGGCACTGTCGGAAGCCCGGCCACGATGCAAGAGCATGCCCAAGCAACGGCGGGTCAAAGAAAATGACATCTTGCATCGTGTCTACTGACCAGAAGTCCGAGACGCCCCGATGTGCCGATGATTCATCACAAGATGAATATGTTGCTAGTGCACTCCGAACGCGCACCGCAACAGCTACACGAAACTTGCCGGTGTTACAGGGAGAAGTGTTTGGACATACTGTATCAGTCTTGAGGGATACTGGAAGCAACACCCTGGTCGTGCGACGTTCCCTCGTTCCCGATGATGCGCTGACGGGTACTACCGCCACTATTTTATTGGCCGATGGTAGTTGCATCGAGGTACCGGAAGCAGAAGTACGGATTCTATCGCCCTATTTCACCGGAAATGCGATAGTCAAATGCATGACGTCGCCACTTTACGATGTCATCGTAGGAAATGTTCCCGGCGCCCGTGACGCTAATGACCCCGACTCAACGTGGAAGGAGTCAGCGAGCCTGAAGTCGGAAACTAATCAGGCATTGAATTCTGAAGAGAAATCCAAGGATGGATGCGGGACGAATAGCACAGTCATGGTTGGTGTTTCAAGCAAAGGACATCGCCGGAAGCTCACGACTGCTAAATTTGGAAACTTAGAGGTGACACAGGAGTCATTTCGCCAAAAACAAGAGGAAGACCGGTCGCTGGATGTTTGTAGGGCGAAAGTCGACACCCTCATCCGCGGTAAAGGAGCCACATACCACTCATTTATGTTCGAGAAAGGAATCTTGTACCGCGTTTACCACTTGACTCCGGGTAAATCAGTTCAACAAGCGGTGGTTCCAAAGGCGTTGCGTGTCCATGTGTTGCACTTGGCACATGAATCACCGATATCTGGTCACCAGGGTATCAAGAAGACGAAGGACCGAGTTTTGGAGTCGTTTTATTGGCCCGGTGTACAGGAGGAGGTACGAAGATTCGTAAAATCATGCGACGCATGCCAAAGGACATATCCCAAAGGCAAAGTAGGCAAGGCGCCTCTTGGACGAATGCCTTTGATTGACACGCCATTCGAACTTGTGGCCGTTGATATCATTGGACCTCTGACGCCGATTTCAAAGAAGGGTAATCGGTACATTCTTACCCTTGTGGATTTCGCCACTCGGTACCCGGACGCGGTGGCTTTGCCCGCAATTGATTCGGCAACAGTAGCAGATGGACTACTGGAGATGTTCTCTCGAATAGGATTTCCACGGGAGATCCTCTGTGATCAAGCATCCTGCTTCACGTCAGGCCTGATGAAAGAGGTGAATGCTCTGCTTGCTATTCGACATTTGAGCTCGACGCCTTACCACCCGATATGCAATGGCTTGGTCGAAAGGTTCAACGGCACTTTGAAACATATGTTGAGCAAGTTGTGCCAAGAGAAGCCGAAGTCATGGGACCGATTTCTTGCGCCTCTGTTATTCGCCTATCGAGAAGTACCTCAGGCCAGTATGGGCTTCTCGCCGTTTGAACTGATCTACGGCCGGCACGTCCGAGGACCCCTGGATATATTGAAGGAACTCTGGACAGGGGAAGACCTAGAGGAAGATATCAAGACTACTTACGGATACGTGCTTGATCTGAGAGAACGTCTTGAACGCACCTTGAAGCTGGCTCAAGAGAATCTCTCCCGAGCTCAACACTCGCAAAAGAAGTATTATGACCGAACCTCCAGAACCCGACAGCTCAAAGTTGGTGACCGGGCTCTTATATTGCTCCCAACCAGGGAAAACAAGCTTCTTATGCACTGGAAGGGGCCATTTCCGGTTACAGGAAAAAAGAATGACCACGACTATTGTTGGACCTTGGGCACACCACGAAAATGTTTCACATAAACATGCTCAAGCGCTACGAAGAACGTCAACCAGAAGTCACTAGTCAAGCTTCATCGTTCGTTGTAGTCGAAGAAGGAGAGTCGGATTCACCCCTCCCTACATTTAAAGTAAATGAAGGGAAAGGTATTGAGTCGGTCACACTCGGAAGTAATTTAGACGAGGCACACGCGATGATATGTGCAATCTCTTGGAGGAATTCCGAGACATATTTTCCGAAGTTCCTGGGAAGACGAACCTCCTAGAGTGCCGGCTAGAGCTTACTACAACAAAACCAATCAGCACGTCACAGTATCCGTTGCCGTTTGCAATGAAGGAAATAGTAGAGAAGGAGGTTCAAGATATGCTGAAGTTGGGAGTTATTGAACGATCCCATTCGCCGTATAACTCACCCTTGGTCCTGGTTAAGAAACCGGACAACAGCTTTCGCGCGTGCATTGACTTCCGTCACATTAATGAGGTTCTGGTGTCCGATTCTGAACCCATACCCTGAACTGACATTATGTTTGCTGAAGTCGGCACGAAGTCGGTTTTCTCAAAGTTAGATCTTACAAAGGGCTATTGGCAAGTACCCTTAGAGGAAAGTTCTCGTCCGAAAACAGCTTTTTCAACGCAATCTGGACACTACCATTTTCTCTATATGCCTTTTGGGATTAAGACAGCCTCGGCCATATTCACACGATTGATGAGGACATTACTGCACGGCATTCCAAACACAGTGCATTACATAGACGATGTTCTAATTGCCACAGCTACGTGGGAGGAGCATCTAGTGACATTGAAACAGTTGTTTCAGAGGATCCGAGAAGCAGGCCTACGGATCAAACCTCAAAAATGTGAGATCGGAATGACTTCTGTCATCTTCCTTGGCCATCACCTCGGCGATGGTACAATCCGCCCAGTAGAAAGCACGATAGCGAAGATCGCTAACGCCCCAAGACCGGAAACGAAGAAGCAGCTTCGCTCTTTTCTCGGCTTGGCGGGATATTACCGAGACCTCATACCTCACTATGCCCAGAAAGCGAAACCACTGACTGAAATGACAAGAAAGATGGAAAAGAACAAGTTAGCATGGAATACCGAAAGAGAAGAGGCATTTGAAACCCTCAAACAAGCTCTAGCAGCTATGCCAGTAGTCAAGGCTGCTGACATAAAGAAACCCTTCGTATTACGTACAGATGCATCTGATAGGTGTATAGGCGCTGTGCTTATGCAGGAACACGAGGGTCTTCTTCACCCGGTGTCATATGCCAGCCGCCAACTTATGCCCCGGGAAGAGAGATACTCTGCAATTGAAAGAGAGTGTTTAGCGTTAGTTTGGGCGATCGCGAAATTTCATATCTTCCTTTATGGAACCTCCTTCGTCGTTCAGACTGACCATCAACCGCTACGATACCTCTCTCAAGCCAAGCATTTGAACAGCCGGATCTTGCGCTGGAGTCTCGCATTGAGATACGCATCGAGATCGTCACGCCCCTCGTCAAACACTGGAATCAGGTTGTGAGGATTGATCAAGCACGGGCGGCTTTGACTCCTCTCAGGTTCGCGGTCCCGCGCTGTTGGCTCTCGGCTACCTTCAACCTCAGCTAGTCGAATTCGCAGTTGAAGAGTTCTCTCTTCTATCTCCAAACGTTCCTTCGCCGCCTGCCTTTCCGCGGAACGCTCTTCACGCGCTTGCACAGATTCCTCATGAGCCCGCTCTAACCGCGCGTCTACCCACGTCTTTAGCTCGGCTCCTTGAAGCCCCATGCGTTCCGCTAGCGTTATAAGCTCTTGCTCACTCATCTTCCCTATAGATTTCAACCCAGTGCAAACGGCTTCGTCCTGTCGCGGACGCCAATTGTGAGGGATAAGGTTCGAGTAATCTCGGCAACTTAAATAATCGTTGTCGAGACTGACGAAGACATTTGCAACTTGAGTTATAAGGCTTTAATGCCACGAAAAAAAGAAAAAAACGATAATGAAGCTTGGCGTGTTACATGGCAACAGCGAAGAACTGCCTTAGGTACGAGCACGACACACGTTCTCGAAAGAAAAGGTCTGACGCTTAGCGTAGTCCCCCACTGCACTACACAAGGTTTGAAACACTTCACCGTGTGACGTCGAAGGCAGATGAGTCGATGCGTTGCGCTGCGTCTTACGCCGACATCAGCGATGCCTCAGGCATGGTCGGAGCGGAGCGTGAGGCAGAGTCGATGTGTGGCAAGCACGTCCCGGACAGCCAGTAGTAGGCCCAGGTCTGGAAAACGCCCGGATCCGAGTACAACGGACCGGCGCCGGCTGCTGGATCACACGGTAGAAGGGAGCCAGGCTCGTGCGGAACACAGGCACAGGTAGGCTTCGGGACCACGACCCGACGAGCGCTTCAGCCTGTCACTGTTTCGTTCGGATCCTTCTTCTCGAACGCCCCGTCGTCGTCTTCTTCCCCTTTCTCCCCATGGCTTGGCTTGACTTTGACGACACGATTCCGCCTTTTCCTTGTCTCATCGTCATCTTCGTCGGCGCACGGCACAGCACAAACTCACAAACATCGCGCACCAGATGAACCTACCGCGCATATCATGACAGTCACTAAGCACAAAATGTGGGTAAATACCCCAGAGTTTCGGGCCTCATTGAAACCGAGCGGCTTACTTAGACTTGGCCCAGGACAGCCAGCTAAAGCTGTACTGCGCCGCTTTCTCAAGGCATGCCTACCATATTTTATCGTTAGCTTAATCTCAATAACGCGTTACTCCTTTTCTCTCTATCTCACACTGTCAGTCAGCACAGTCTGCAACGAAAGACTCACTGTCTCTGTTCAAGGGAAGCGCCACGCCGATTATAAGGGGTCATTTTGTGCCGTACTAACAGACGCTTGCACGAGCCTTATTTGCGCAGGGTCGGATGGATTGAAACACATCAAGAGAGACGTTTGTACTGTGGTTGACACAGACCAGAATATTTCTACTCTCGCAACTACGTTTAGAGCAAGCGTACATAATCTTGACCCCACATAAAAAAAAACAGTCGGGGCGGCTAGCGCTGGGGGCTGCGGGTCATGATGGCGAATCAACAATCGTGGCCAACATAGCTCGCGTGCGAGAAAAGGAGGCCGAACATCATCCTGCATCGTCCACTCCATGTGATGAGCAACTCCATACTAAAGATGGGTACCCCCTGCAAGCGATGGAAATTCTGTTCTGTAAGATAGCCTGATGATGACGACGACGTCGACGATATTGATGATGACGAGACCACCCGTGATCATAAAAATTTCATTTTAAAATTTGTAACGTTCCTAATTTGTAAGCTTCTTTACTCTAAAATCGAATAACACTTTATAAGACCACTAAATTATTGGCCGATACCCAACAGTGGGTATGAGCGACAAGTGAAGGGCAACAAGAACAAGACGAGACGCCCAGCTGGTTGAATGCAATGTTCCTTCTTGCTTATCCCAGGTCCACTGGCAACAGAACGGCGGCAAATGCGGCGTCTGTGGCGATCCGTGGCACCAACGAACGCCACGCAACAACGAAGCCGGCGGCAAGTACGCCAAGGGTATCATCGTGCGCCGCTACAAGAGGGGAGATGTAAGTCCAATTCGAACGCACTATACATATCGGCAGTCGATATGACGCTTACACAACGCACACACATTGATTAATGAGAACGAGCACAAAATGCCGCGAGCACCCTCTCGCGAGAAACATCACACGTAAGTGGACTATCATTGAGCATGGGTATTATAAGTGATGTGCATGCATAAGTGGGCTTTGTGTGGCCCTCTTGCATTAATAAGTACGCTGTGAAAGAAATGTGATACTACACTAGGCATACATTCCTGACTAAGTCGGCTACAATTAAAGGTTCCCGAATGGTAAGCAGTTCTCAGCCCTCTGATTACGACATCTGCTGCCTCGCAGCCCCAACGATTAGTACCATGGGTTAGTAGTTGCTCTGAAAGACCCTGTCTTCGTTCTACTATACCCTTCCATAGACGATTAACAAGTCCGAGACTAACCAACCTAGAATCTTACCTGGGGCACGCGTCCACGACTAAGGTATCCTTCCCATTGCAAGTTATTCAAGGCAATGTAATGTACCAAATACACAGTGTCTAGAAGAAGCCCTGACTTATTTGGACCCTCAAATATAGCAAAAGTGGCATCAGAGAGGTAGCCAAGTTGTAGCGGGCAAAATCGCAAAATTCGGTGACTATCTTTTTATTGCATTTCTACTAACAACGAATGTAAGATAATAGCTAGAGTGAAGACGTATGTTGATGCGGTGGCATATCTCTACCAACATCAACGTCTTCTAGATAGCTATCTCCACAAAAAGCGCAGAATCAGCATTAGTAGTTAAAATCGCGATGAAGCCCTCCAAGTTTGCCGAGGAAACAACCATAGCATTTTGAAGAATAAATCTATTATCAATAACTCCAAGTCTGTCAATAATATTTACCCGAGAGGAACAGTTGTTAAAATCCCTCAAAACTGCTTCGAAAACCGAGGGACGGTACCGGTTCACTCTGGCAACCTACGTAACGAAAAGGCTCACTTGTTTGGCTAAAGGATCTATCGACCGAGCCGTGAGCGACGACTCAAGCTGAAACACACAGAGCTACCATCAGCCATACCATGAGATTGGCCAATATTTTAAACTAGCTACACAAACGTTACCTTAGCACCACAAAGTTCTTCCCAAAGCTCAGGAGGTGAGCCGTGTCAAAACTTAAACCTTCTTAAATCCTGGTCACACCACATCAATCCACACAACACAAACCAGAATCCTCGAAAAGCGGCAAAAGAGAGACAATGAAGCACACCTTTTAAGACTATTCTGTGTTCCGGGAGCACAAGTCCGGGTCACAGCAAGAGCCCAAGGATGGCCAAGCGGTCCGCCACAGCGCCGAAGAAGTGCGACGCATGCATCTTCGAGAGCTGATGATAATGTGTTTGGAACAAAAGATGAACAATATGGAGCGATATCACGTTGTACTATATATACTTCATCTTTTGAACAACACCGTAGAGTACCTTATTGAGGTACTGTGAGGTCGTGACAAATATTACGTGATAATGATTTTTTTGCACGGCTCGCACTCACGCCGACGCCACGGGACGACGTAAGGCTTTCGCCTTATTTAAAGACTAGATGCATCTGAAGTTCCTGCTCTGCTACACTTTGGCAATGCCAATGATTGGAAAAGGACAGGGCAGGCATCTTGTTATTGTTCCTAAACCAAAATCTTTGCTGTAAATATACATCCTCCGCGAATGAAGAGCCATAGCAACTGGGGAAGCGGAAGTGTTGTAAACCGTGCCGTGTAAAATATATTTTTTCTTACGTCGTTATTTGCAGCGACAGGTCACCAAATACTGTTGCAGCTGTGGTGCACAGACGGATAAACTTTCTCATAGGCCGTATTAAGAGGTCCGCTAATGCTTAGAACTGTAATTTTGTGAGAGTTTTTTCGCGTGTTTCCCTTCAGTGATCCGTGATAATATTGCAGTGCTGTAAGTTATTACATGGTGCCCATGATCCCTTTTTTGTACGTCCCACTGAAGTCATTTTGTTTCACGGTGCAGTTATACTTATTGGAACATCTGTTGCTAGTATGCAATAAACTTCCGCGTTTGTACAACCACAACCGCTCTATAAAAATTATCTAGTGGGCGTGGTAGTGCCACTGCTGGACAGCAGTGCAAAAATAATTATAAAAATGATGCAAAAAATCAATATCAAGTAAGATTTTGTCACGATCTCACAGAACGCCATAGTTTGTGACATCGTCACTTCGTCAATACAGTGTCACATGACTTCACAGTGACGTCATCACGTGACTTCGTTACTTGGTCAACAACGTTGGCCAATAACAAAGGCATTGCAAAATCAAGTGAAGCACAGAACGCTTATGAAAGGCAGATGTGTAAGAATAAATGCATCGATTGGGAAGAAGAACAAGATGGCCTTCGGGTGGTCTTGAGCGAATATGTAAGGGATCGCGGGACTTCTGATAATTTCGAGGGCTCCTTAATATTGGATATTGCATGCGGTGTGTCTAATCATTATTGGTTATTTTTGAAACAGTCGAATAATATAGTAGAAGGGGGTGTGTGTAGCTGCTCTTGGGAGCAATATAGGGTCACGTTACGAAGCTAGACTCCTTCCTCTTCAATACCGCTACGTTGTCTTCAAATCATGGTTCCCTAAGGCATAAGTCTCGAAGCTTTGGTAGCAGTCTCGGAAAGAAAACTATATAGTGACTGAAGGGTACTTTTTCCCTTTGTGCTGCGCACTGCAGCGAACATCAAGCTTGTTCACAGCTGGCTAACCTTTCACTCTCTCTCACTCTCTCTCTCTCTCTCGTGTTCGCAGGTGATGAAGGCGTCAGTGCAGCTCACTGCCAACCACCGAGGGTTTTTCGAGTTCCGCCTGTGCCCAGTGAACAACCCCAAGGTTGCAGCCACCGACGAGTGCATGGCCAAGCACCCGCTGACCATGGCTGACGATCCCAGCGGAAGCACGCGCTACATGGTGGACGCCCGCAAGCGTGACTTCAACCTCCGTCTCAAGTTGCCCGACGATATGACCTGCTCCCAGTGCGTCTTCCAGTGGTCTTACACCGCAGGTACGGACGTTCGTAACCCCCAGACCCACTGGGTTTTTTGCGCTCCAAACTCTGGATGCTGGTGGTCTCACCACTGGTGCGGCCGATACGCGCATTATTATCTATTCCCATCGAAGCTTACTAATGAGGAAAGCCTATTTGAAAGCGATTTTTGATAAATGAACGTGTAATCGTTGAAAAATGCCGTTAACAGCTTTTCATATCAACGCTATTATCGTCTAACGTTAACAATATCCCCTGACACGGGATAGAGGTTGCTTGGGGTTAAATGTGATTCATATAGCTTGCGGGTATAAATAGCGGGTTTAAAAAAGAAGTTTGCGGGTATAAATTGGCAGCAGCAAGCACAAGACGGGGTTAGCTGGCGGAACATGGGAGAGGCCTTTGTCCTGCAGTGGACGTAGTAAGACTGATGATGATCATGATGATGATGATGATGATGATGATATAGCTTCGGCTTTTGATGTTCTCCGTCTCAAGAGTTCAATAAGTGGCACCTTGCTCATTACCTGGTGGTGAGGTTTCGGGCAACACTGAGTAGTATATAACATTTTAAAGCGCTTAATAACGACATATCTTCGTTCATTTGCGCAGGCAACAACTGGGGCAAATGCGCTAACGGATCCAGCGCCGTGGGCTGCGGTCCTCAGGAGACCTTCAGAGGCTGTGCCGACATCGCCATCGAGGATGGTGTCGCCGGTGGAGAAGGCGGCCAGGGTGGATTCGACGTCGGCGCAGGCGAGATTCCCGCCGACACACCTCCTCGTGTCTCACCCACCATAAAGCCTGTGACGCCCCAGGTGCCCTGGTGGGTCAAGGGAGGTCCCAAGGTACCCGTGACGCCCAAGAAGCAGCCACCCCAGCGCGGCTACCCCTGGAAGACCTATCCGACCCGCAGGCCCTTCCACGAGGTCGAAGGCCACACGAAGCAGGTTCCCGCCGCCGCCGTGCCCGCCGAGCCCAGGCCAGTCTACCCCGGCGGCAAGCCAGAGGTCGAAGGAGAATCCGAACACAACGGCCATGGTCACCATGGAGGCAACGATGGCACACCGACTCGGACCTACCCCGAGGAAGAGGAGTTGCCCACGAGTACCACAACAGAGTACCCGCGCACCATGATTCCCAAGAGGTACTCTCCTAAGGACAAGTGGACTCCAGCTCCGAAAAACACCAAGAACAAGCCACCTTTCGCAAAGGGTGGTCCCGCTTACAAGCCCGGCAGCGGCAAAGAAGTTTTCGGAGGCTGTAAGGGCGTCGGCATGTATAGGCGAATCCCAGGACTCGACAAGTGGTGCTGGGAAAATTGCCACAGGGGTTATTGCCCGCCCACACACTGCACTTGCCACTAAGTGTCTCCCGGTAGAGACAGCAACATAAGTTTGAATTTTAGAATATCCCTTGTTCTCCCGTTTTTATCCCTTGTTGACGATGTCTTTCCCAAAACGTGACCCCACCCTTCCCGTTGCTACCGCCTCTGCTTCAAACTCTGCAAAGCCATCATTTTTTTTTATTGTTCACGAACTTCGCCCATGGTCGTGTGCGTGGATACCCGGTGTCTTCGAGTTGTGTCCCGGTGACTTGCGCTTTTTGTGTCCCGTTTTTTGTGTGTTCATGCACACCACATCTGCAGAGGGAAGTTTGAGCTGTATGATTACGAACGCGTGGTTTTTTTATTCGGGTGTGAATGCTTGTAGGCCGTATTTATTTGTACGTTTGATGCAATATTTGAAACCCGGTGACGAATGATTATTGATTCGCAATATTACTCTTTGAAAAATGTGGTGGCCAGTCTCTTGAGTCTAAAAAATACAGGGCATTCGTACGCGCGCGCTCAAGAAACGCTGGCCAAGTAATACTGAGCGCGAGAAAAGCATATGATTCAGTTGTTTTTTTCTTTAGACAAGCACATCTTTACTGCCAGAACGTCTTTCATGAAGTTTAACTGACGCCACCATATTGAAGGCAGTACTTACTAATCAAGAATTGCCATATGAATTGAATGATAACGCACGTACGACGCACTAATTAAATCTATTCTTACAGAAGCTTAAAATTATTAACGCGTCTATCTGCTATACGAGTCATTAAAAAGTTTTAGATCAAGCATAGCTGTGAAATAAACGTTATTAATAATCGTGAATTAACACTAGACCAACAAGTTATAGTAGGTTATTATTTATTCTGAGGCATAATACAGCTGCTTAGCAACTGAACAGGTTCAGTGCAGAAGAAGAAAAGACGCAAGGACCTTATTTTAAAATGATAATTGACAGGGGAGAGAGATGTAAAGAAAGCCTGCCCACTAGCTACTTGAGCTGGCTTCCGATTTCTGTGCCAAGTCAAGCTCTCGCCGCGCGGGCGCGCATAGTGATGCTTGACATCTTCACCACTTTTGAGCGAAGTGAAATGTACATACTTGAGACCTCTTATTTAATTTAAACTGCGTGCATGCATGCTTCTCATCCAAGCACATCCACGGTGCCGAGTCCTTTCCTGTCAATCAATGAGTGCCCATGAATTATTTATTTGCGAGCGTTTTTTTACAAGAACTGTAATCTTGTCCATGCTCATTCCTGTTCATCTTTTGCCTGAGCCGTTAGTGTGGGAGTTTCATGTGTGCGTATCATATATAATATTTATAACGACGCATTCTTTCTTTTTGTTGTTGATTGTTGTTGATGCTTGTTTTTTATTTCGGTTCGCGAGATCGATGTGTGATGTGGCAATAAAAGAAGGTGCCCGGGTGCGCCACTCTAAAATTGTGAACTTGCGTGAACTTATTCAGTGAGAGGGGAGACTTCGAACGGTCTATTTTATTACTCGCATTCATTCATTCATTCGCGCAGTTTGCCGGGCATTCGGCCAGTGCATCGTCTTATCAATGTCTCACCGACATTAGTATCGCAGCCCAGCCGTGGTGGTCTAGTGGCTGATGTACTTGGCTGCTGACCCACAGGTTGCGGGATCGAATCCAGGCTGCGGTGGCTGCCTTTTCGATGAAGGTTAAAATGTGGTAGGCCGGCGTGCAAAGATCTGGCTGCACGTTAAAAAACTCCAGCTGGTAGAATATTCCGGAGCCCTCCACTACGGCAGTCTATCGTAATCATATAGTGGTTTTGGGACGTTATACCCCAGAAGTTATTCAATTAGTATCAAAAAGCAAGTTTTATGATAATTGGTTGCGTGCGTGTCCTAAAACAAGGTGTGTACAAAACAATTTGTTCTACACGCGCGCACTGCATTTGGCATTTTCCATTGCCTAAGACAAAAACGTTAGGTTTCGTTTCATTTCATTTTATGCGCGGCGTTTTGCGTAGCCAAAACCTGTATACGATTGTGAGGCATGAATGTCGTAGTGGAGGTCCCCGAGAACTTGGGCCATCTGGTGTTTTTAAACGTGCATTAATATCACATGGGATTCTACCCTTTCGCGTCCACCGAAACGTGACCGCCACTGGCCGGAAACGAACACGTGACCTTCGGGTCAGCAACCGAGCACCGTATAGCCGCTACACCACCACTGCGAACCCCCAGGCAAATATATTCCTATGGATTAACATAGTAATATAACAACTGATGACCAGCTGCGTGCCTTACAAAATGACATCACCAGTTTGGAGAGGAACATATGCTCACTGTAGTTGTTTTATCTTTCTAAATGCACATACAGGGCAGCATACTGCACGCTATATATTATGACCATCAACGTCATCAGCATGCGCAAAATGTGCCAGCCAGCACCTTGTGGGCGCCGATTTTTTAGTTCGTGGTTTCTATGCTACACTGTACTAGTGTTCATCGACTTCTAACTATTGCCCAATGGTCTGTTTTCGTAGAGTGCAGTAAAAGAGAGTATTCTAGGTCACTGTAAATTTATTGTCATCCCTATGACTGTCGTAGTTGACTTGCAGAAGGGCCGCTAAATTTTGCGAATGAAGTCTGATATGACGCTCAACGTTCTTGCGCGCTAGTTGGGGATAAATGATTTTCCCACGGTTTCGGGCTGATGACAAAGCCCGAGTAGTTAATATTAGATAGATTTGTGGGATTTAACGTCCCAAAACCACCATATGATTATGAGAGACGCCGTAGTGGAGGGCTCCGGAAATTTTGACCACCTGGGGTTCTTTAACGTGCACCCAAATCTGAGTACACGGGCCTACAACATTTCCGCCTCCATCGAAAATGCAGCCGCCGCAGCCGGGATTTGAAACCGTGACCTGCGGGTTCAAATCCCGGCTGCGGCGGCTGCATCAATCTCAGCAGCCGAGTACCTTAGCCAACCACCGCGGCGGGGCCGAGTAGTTAATATTGCATATAAGAAGAGCGCAACTGTAAAGCTCCCGTAGTTGGATTGTAACTGGGTCCTTTCACGTCAACTGCCCCAACCTTGGCGCTTGACCGTTTCTGATTTACCTGAATAAATATCAGAACTACATACCTAAGTCCAAAAGTGTTTTCCCAAAAAAATTCTTTGAAAAAAAATTTTCCAGCACCGCAAGCCTCATTTTATTTTTTACGGAAAGCTCGAAACCATAGCTCGTAGACCCATTGCCCAAAAATTCGTTTTAATATATTAGGTAAAGACAATTTTTCACCTTTAGAACAATGGTTGACGTTTTACTCAAAAAAATTTTTTTCAACCTTTTACGGTTTCTCTGATTTTTTTTCTGTCACCTCAAGTACAAAAATTTGGTCTGTATTGGGAATTTTTTATAGGGAAAATTAGATAGAATGTTTTACTAAGAACGAAACATACTTTTCAGCGTATACAGTGCGAAATAAATTTTACATTTGGTGACAACGTCGCAAAATGTTCATTTTGGCACATCTTCGGTCGTAAATTCAACCATGATGCGGTCCTACTAAAAATACGCGCAATAGCAGATTTAGTAGCAACCTTCATTACCTATTCACTCAGGAAGCTTTATCAAATTAATTTTTGTTTTCAGTGAGAAAAGTATCTTCGAATTTTTATGTTACCGCTCTCGGGGTTTGAACGTGTTTATAGCCGTAAACATGCCTCCTAGCAGTAAGTAGAAGCTGCGGGGGGGGAGGGGGGGGGAGGATCATCTCGACAACGTAATCAGCTTTTTCCTAGCCTATCCAAATTACTTACAAGCTAGTATTATCCCTGGTTAATGACAAACGCGGGACCTACACGACCGCATTTAGCCATGTGCCACCGTCCGATGGCAGCCTGCGTATAGTATATATATGCTTACGCAGCACCTAAAAGTGGCATTGATTTGTGCAACACACCACTACCGATATATGCTAACGTTTAGATGTAAGAAGATTTGATTGATGTGTGGGGTTTAACGTCCCAAAACCACCATATGATTATGAAAGACGCCGTAGTGAAGGGCTCCGGAAATTCCGACCACCTGGGGTTCTTTAACGTGCACCCAAATCTGAGCACACAGGCCTATAACATTTCCGCCTCCATCGAAAATGCAGCCGCCGCAGCCGGGATTCGAACCCGCGACCTGCGGGTCAGCAGCCGAGTACCTTAGCCACTAGACCACCACGGCGGGGCGATGTAAGAAGATTACGATGAAACGAAGGATCATTTGAAAGAACAAAAAAAGATGTGCTGCTTGGGAGCTAAGTGGCAGTTATGCACTAAGATATGGTCAGTGGTGCCAAAAGGTCAATTAAATACGCTTATTGTCGCGAGCAAAAACAAGACCTGCAGCCAGGAGTTCACCCGAACCAGAGCAACGAAAACGTTCTCTTCTTCTTCGTAGCCCGAAAACGGGTATGAGCCACAGCGGCTCGTTTATCAATGGTGGCATTACCCCCTCTCCCAAGAAGCATCGTCTCGATGCTGTACATGAATGCAAAAAAAAGAAAAGAAAATGAGATGAAAATTACCATGCAAGCGAAATGAATGGCGTAAAGCGGAATAACATAGTTGGTTGTGGAGCCAAGAGTTAAATGAGAAATAAGAAAAATAGGAAAGAATGTAAGGGAGAGACGAATAAAGTCAGTCACTCTCTGGCGATTCACAGCGCGAAAAGTATGGTTTCAGCCGTGAAACGTGAACAACTTCAGTTCGCGGGGTGAAACGGGAACGTCTCGAAGTGCCTTCTGGGAGAACCTCGTATGTGACGTCGCTGAGACGTCGTACGACCTTGTAAGGGCCGAAGTAGCGGCGAAGAAGCTTTTCTGAACGGCCACGTTGTCGGATAGGGGTCCACACCCAGACTTCATCACCGGGCTTGAAAATAACTTCACGGTGACGAAGATTGTAGCGGCGTGCGTCTGCGGTTCGGTGATGTTGAATACGGTGACGAGCAATTTGACGGGCCTCTTCTGCACACTGCGCGAATTTGGCGGCATCGGTGCGGTATATTCCTAAGTTGTCGGGCAGGAGCATGGCGTCGAGCATCGTCGTGACCTCGCGACCGTGGACTAAGCGAAAAGGTGTGAAACCGGTACTTTCTTGAACAGTAGTGTTATACGCAAAAGTTATGTAGGGAAGTATGGTGTCCCAGTTCTTGTGATCGATGTCCACATATATTGACAGCATGTCTGCAGTTGTCTTATTGAGTCGTTCAGTCAGCCAATTTGCTTGCGGGTGGTAAGCCGTTGTTTTGCGATGTTCCATGCCACTTGATCGCAAGACTTCCTGCAGCATCTCTGCGGTGAAAGCTGTCCCACGATCAGTTATGACGACAGCTGGAGCACCGTGACGTAAGACGATGCTGTTCACGAAAAATTGGGCGACATCTGCTGCGGTTGCTTTTGGAAGCGCCTTCGTTTCACAGTAGCGTGTTAAGTAGTCGGTAGCGACCACAATCCACCGGTTTCCAGATGAAGACGTGGGGAATGACCCCAGCAAATCCATGCCAATCTGATGAAAGGGCGCCTTGGTGGGCCTATTGGTTGCAGTAGTCCCGCTGGTCGTAAAGGTGGAACCTTACGTCGCTGACAGTCGCGACATGTGCGAACGTAATGCTTCACAGTCTTTGCGAGACGTGGCCAGTAGTAGGAGCGTTGAATCCGTTGCAGCGTGCGCGTATAGCCGAGGTGTCCGGACGATGGCTCATAATGACACGCACGTAAAATGTCACCACGAAGCGTAGTTGGCGCAACAAGCAGATACATAGCTTGTGTAGGATGAAAGTTCTTTTTGTAAAGCACTCCATCGCGGAAACAAAAGGAGGATAGCGAGCGTGCAAAGCTTGGAGGTGGGTGGGAATTGCGTCCTTCCAGGTAGTCAATGAGCGGAATGAGCTCCGAGTCGTGACGCTGTTGCTCAGCCAAGCGGGTTGCTGATACGACAGAAAGAAAAGTGTCGTCTTCAAGGTCAGTGTTGGCATTTTCGACCGGTGCACGTGAGAGACAATCGGCGTCGGTGTGTTTCCGCCCAGATTTGTGGATGACGGTGACATCGAAATCTTGTAGCCGAAGGCTCAATCGTGCTAGACGACCTGAGGGATCTTTGAGATTTGCGAGCCAACAAAGGGAATGGTGGTCGCTAACTACCCTGAATGGGCGGCCATACAAGTATGGGCGGAACTTTGTTATGGCCCAGACAACAGCGAGGCATTCCTTCTCGGTTGCAGAATAGTTTTTCTCCACTGGGGATAACGTTCTGCTCGCATAAGCGATCACGCGCTCTACGCCATTATGCCACTGAACTAATACCGCTCCTAGTCCAACGTTGCTGGCGTCAGTGTGTAATTCCGTGTCAGCGCTTTCGTCAAAATGACCCAGTACAGGTGGAGCCTGGAGGATGTTTCGGAGGGTGTCGA